AAATAAAAACCAATTGATCTGAAAAATTCCAAGGATCCATTTTTGTCCATTTTCTTTTTTGCTTTGTTTTCAATATAACTTTTACAAAGCTCTTTGCCCAAATTTCTTTAAAAAAATCATGTTTTGTCGTTTCTTCAAAGTACTTTGTAAATAAGTCACAATTCGTCAGAGCTATTTCCAGAATGTTTTTGAACAATGCCAAAGAACATTGGCTTTCCTGAAATGGTAGTTTATATGAAGCCATTAAAAAAATGAAGATGTCGACCGGATATTTTAGCTTGTTATAAAGGATGTTAATATTTGACTTATTTCTAACTTCTCCGAATTTAAAAACAACATCTTCGCAATCGACGGAATTATCTTGGTCATATTCGAAGTCATCTCATGCTTCTTTTTCCATTACTAATTACAAGATGAGTTCTACATTTAAAACTAAAAATATCTCAACCTTATTATTATTTTTGGAATCAAAATCCTCTTTTTCTCTCCATTTTGATCAAAAAAACCATTTTTTAATCTTCTATGTTTTGTTTATTGTTTATTGAAAAAAAACATTGATTATTGAAAAGGTGTTAAGCAGTATCAAACCAAATGAAAAGTCAAAATCATCCAATTGGTAAATAAGTGAGAATGGTATGTTTCAAATTGTCTTCGAAAATTAAAACCTGTGAAAATAATTTACTAACAACAAATGAGGTTTTTTGAATTTTTAAAAAATAAAAAAAAATTATGAATTAAATTTAAATTATAAACTGTTTTTCAAAACTCTGTACTGGGACGCCCCGATTTTTCAGACAAATAATTTCTAAATAATTTTTCCTTTGCTTAACCCTCATTTTTTGTTCAAAATATTTACTCGAAAAAAACGAAATAACGAACCTGACTTTTTTAAATTTTACTTGACAAATAAATCTTGCACCAAAAATTTAATTGAAAAATACAAAAAACAAACTTGGGATTAAAATTTTGATTACCATAACACAAATTTTGCCAAAAATGAAAACACGACTTTTTAATTCAATATCCATGTTTACAGAATCACCAAGTCGTGTTCTGGATAAAAATGAAAAGTACTAATGAGTAAAACAAGCATTGAGAGAAGATAAATTGGTTAAGGCTATACAATTGAAAAGTTTTTTTAATTTTTGACCTGTTTATTTTATTTAAGACTCTTTTGATTAATAACCTTGATTGTTTAAATGTTTGTTTTAAACTCCGGACACAAAGTCCGACGTATTGGACTTTCGGATTTGTTTTTCTGCTATTTTTTAAAATTTTTATTGAAATAATTAATGAATTATGTCAAGAAAAACGGGAAATGAGCTTAATGTTATGAGCATTTATAATTTTTATATTATTTTTGATGTGTTTTTTCTTCACTTATTTTATTTGTTTATCCCACAAAAACCTTCATTAAAACATTCATTGTTTTCACAAAATATAAATAAAGTAACCACTTTGTTTTGATAAGTAAAAATAGTTTTTTAGCATTAACAAAAATATTGTTTTTTGATTATAATTGTTGTTTAACAAAACAATAATTATAATACATTTTATTATAATTGATAAAAAGTGTTCCATTTACAAATGTCATTATTGTTATATATTTTTGTGATGAAATGATCACAGAATTTGCTTTGTCTTTTCATGTCATTATTAAACAAATTCTATAATAAATTAATAATGAAATGATTAAATATTATAAAAGTCAAATAAACACAAGTAATAATTGTTAATTTTTATTATATTATAAAAAAGTATTTTTTATTCCAATTAATATTTCTAATCACCTACATTTCATTTATAAAAACAAAATTAATCAATTATCATATATTTACATTTATATAATTAATATTTTAATATTTTCAACATAACGATAATAAAAATTTTTTGTTACTTGTGGTGTTTTGATTAATTTCATGTGTTTCCATATAAAAATTCGATACACTTTTTAGTTTAATTTAATAATAGAATTATAATTAAGTCGTGTTTTTCGTTGTTATCGTAAAAATCAACGAATTGAAAAAAAAATAATTTTATTTTCATTTTTTTAAATGTTATAGTATTGATTAAATTTGCGATTTTTGTATAAAATTTGGGTATGAAATTAACTTTTCGTGTTTTATAAACCAAAATATTTCGTGATTTTGAAATAAGGAAATTGTAGTGTAAGTAGAAAATTAAAAATCAAAAAATAAAACGCAAAAAATCGAAATAAGGGAAAATAATGATAAGTAAAACAGGTATAAATTTCGAAATAATATATTAATATCCCGAAAAACAAAAGAAAAAAATACTGTTATAACGTGTCGGACTTTATGGCCCAAGTTTATGTTATCGATGGCCATTTTTTAATTGTTGAAATAAACAAAAACTTATTATTAATTTAAGTGTTGTATCATTTGATGCAATAATGTCCTTCATTACATCATTAGTTTATCGTTATATTACGTTTATCTTATGTTTATTTGAAAGATAGAATTTTACTGACGTTTAGTCACAAAATAAACCACTAACCAAATAACGAACCTGGAAAATCGGGTAAGATTTACCCAATATTTGGGTGATTTCCCGATTTTTTGTTCAATAATTGAAACTGTATTGGTTTTTAAGGGTTTTAAACTGTGTACCGTTGTTGGTTCAGCAAAAAGGAAAATAAAAAATAAAACAAATAAAAAATAGTAAATAACGGGAAACTAGGACAAAGGGTTTTTATAAATTTTGGAAACGGTACAGAGTTTTGGAAAACAGTTTATGTAATTGTTTCGAAACACGTTAGTAATTTTGTTTCCATTTTTGTTTAATAATTTATTACTATTATTAATTCAACTAACTAATATTTAAACATGTCGCAACTGTAAATTATACATGTTGGTATTTTTTCTTATCACAGTTGCATTTGCAAAATATTTTTTTATACCATGATGGAGTGATTTGGGTGAATATCCTTGGTCAGTGTTATAATAATATTCAAATGTTTACATCGACAAATTGTGATGATTGGAAAGACGAATGAAGTATACCAATACCGACTGGTATTTAAGTTACTTTTCAAATGATAATTGTGTATGACGATGTTGGTACACAATAAATTGTTTATTTTTATTATATTTACAGTTAAATATAACATATAACTGTAACACATTCTTTTTGTACTTCTTTTTTTAAGGTGAAGAGGAAAAATAACAACTTATTTAAAAGAAAGAAGTACAAAAAGAATATTTCAACAATAAGTTATAGTAATTTCAACAGAACTAACAACTAAAATATGTTTTGACTTAATTGTTGATTTCTTATTTATAAATTTTAATGTTTTGTTATATTGATAAGTATGTTAAGTTAATAATTAAAATGTATTATACTTAGATTATACTTTAATACCTTAAATTAAAAATTATACATATGTATTTTTATTAATTTGACGTTTTTAACACTTAAAATAAAAGTGTTTTAAACGGGGCTTTCAAAATTTCAACCCTTCGTCCCCAAGTGGCAAGATTCGAAAACTGGATTACATTTAAATATAAATAAACAACCCAAAGACAAAATAATTTTACTTATACTTTAAATTATTTTTAATTCGAAAAACACACAAAAACCAAAATAATAACAAAAATAAGACAAAATTACAACACAAAAAAAACAAAACCAAAAAATCTAAAAGCATTTTTTCACAATAATTACTAAATCCACTATTAACCAAATAAAAATTCAAACAAATAAAACTTGTTATTTTATGATATTTATTAATATAATTATTATTTTATTCAGTTGAAACTATACAGACACACAAAAAATGATTCTTTAACCATTCAACTACAAAGCTCAAAATTAGTTTATTAAATAGTTTTTTCTTATATACAACCATTACCATTCACTCTTTCATCTATTATTATCATCCTTTCTTTGTTGGTTTGTTCGGATGATGGATATTATGTAGCAGCTTTTAATATAAAAAACCCAGACTCACAAAGAGCGGATGTGGGCGATATACTCCTCAAATAAACTAACATTTCTTTCAATTTTGGACAGTCTTTTAAATTATCCTTATAATCATCCATATTTAAATAAACATGTTCCGACCACAATTTGAATTTATTGTTCTGTTGTTCCGCGATTTTTATGTCAATGAATTTATGTCTTTTTTCGGTTAACATGGGATCGTTTCTTATTTTTTTCAATTTCACTTTGATACTCTATAAATTCAGAATTGGATTTTTTTTCCCTACCACATATTCATCAAATTCAGTAGTGAAATTACACGTGTTATTTAAAGGTTCTTCTTTACTTTCTTCTTTGCCGAGAAATGGGTCGAAAACTTGATCATTTGAATCTCTATTTTTTGAACAACTTTTACAAACAGATGAAAACCTTACTTTTAATAAATTTCTTAAAGTTCTGACAATTTTCACCATAAATTGTATATCTATTGGGTGCGCGTTTGAAGCCTCTAACCTCGAAAGAAGACTGAATAAATTACTTTAAATTTCAAACTGAATTTTTTTTACAAATTATCGATAAATAAATTAACTTCTTTAAAACACCTGAAAATTAGCGAATTTTTTCTTTGAATTTTTTACACAAATTTTCAATTTGACCGAGTGTATCAAGTAAAAACGCGATTTTACCAATTACTTCATCATTGTACAGACACTCGACACAATCTTTAACTGTCAGTCATTCACTTATTTTTTTGTTTGGGTTACAAAGTTAATGATTATTTAAAAAACGAATTATATCCCATTTATGCACGTAAATCCATTCAAATACATTTTCCATTGAAGTCCACCGAGTTACACAATACTTTGGTGGTTTACACTGGTATTTGACATAAAAGTTTTTATTAAGATATACAAAATCACATATATTAGATACAAAGTCGACTATTCTGTCGACTTTTTCCAAATTGAAAAAAAGTTATGCACTCTCCAAGACATAACTCTGTTCGATGGCAAAACACCAAACTGTCATAGTAATAAAAGGAGATCGAGGATGTTTAATCAGTTGAATGTTTCTTGCCCGTTTTCGTATTTCATTCGAGTACCCATGTTTTTCCCCATACAATTAGACCCACCATCCGTAACACTGGCACTCAGTTTAATCATATAGATACCTCCATCATTTAAAACCTTTTTTATCAAAGTTGCCAATTTGTCGCCAGAAGCTTTATTGTTATAAACAACCAAGTCGAATAGACGGTTGATTATTGTCATATCATCAATGACAAACAGAACATAAAAAACATACCAACTGTTTCTATACAACGTATACTCATCAGATATGATTGACATTCGGCACGACTTAGCGGCCAAATTTTTTAAACTAACCATTTCCTTGTCGTAATATTCTTGGCTTTTTTGATTCAAATTATTTTCAGATAAATGAGTGTGTTGCATAATATCTAATCTAAACTTTTCAATTGCTTCAACTGCATTATCAATATTCTGTTTTACAGAAGAAGACTTACTTAAAAAATTGTGTATGATCATCACAAATCCAATTTTTGTTGACAATATATACGCCCTGATAAATCAAGTCGTTGTTTATATTTTCATCAATGCCTTTTTGTTGTTTGACACAATTTGGTTCTATAATAGTCGTTTGATGTTTGAGTTTTTCAACGTTTTCTCCGATATGGAATGTTTCAATTAATTGATTTTTATTGTTAATCTATTTCGGTTTAAAATAAAACGAGTGCTCTTCAAATTGGTTTTCTACGTAAGAATGAGTGACAAATTTATTTCACAAAATACATATATACCATCTTTTTATATGGTCAACCTACTCTAATAAATAATTGGTGTTCCAATTATTAAAATAATCACACCTTCCAGTAGAAGTGTTCATACATTTTTATTAAGTTCTTGAAGAAATAAAAAACAATAGTAATTTACCACAAGACTTTATTTTTAATATTTTTATTTTTGCTTTTCATGATTATGTTTATTGTAAATAATAACTTTATAGTTTCAAATTGAGCTTTGTTTTGGAACACAAAAAAATTGCCTTTATTAAAATTGTTTTATATTGCAAATAGAATAAATACCAACTTGAAAAAAATCCAACAAAAATACGATAAGACAAATTAAAACATTTCTTTTTTTTCAAACCTTTAATTACAATAGCCATCAAAAAGTTTATTTTAAATTTTCTGAAACAATTATCTAATAAAAATCAACCCTTGTCTTTTTAACTTTGTTTTAAAAAGCCCTGGTTTAAAAGCACCTGATTTTAAATTGACTTTTTTAACTACAGGGGGATAAAAACGGTTTCCGTCTTTTTAATCGCTTCCACTTGATTTTATGGATTTGAATAATATTAATATGATAAAATGAATGGTACTGTTTTCCATGAAGGCTGAATATGCCCTGTGGAGAATTTTCTGTCTAAGGTGGTAATTTGTATTATAATTTTATTATTTATTACAATTAGATCGATAAGAAGCGATTAAAAAGAAGAAGCAATTTTTTATTTTCCCTATACATATTTTTGTTTTGATTTGTTTTTACTGAAATATTTATCTAAATTTCAATAATTTTATTTTTTGCTTGTGTATTATTGTGTACATAGTATAAACTTTAAAAAACAGGATAATTATTTAATAAACTAAAAATTTTTTAATTTTTAAATTACTTAAATATGTTCATTGGTATTATAAGTGTTAATATAATACATATTATTGCTATTATTAATAACAATTGTTAAATAAAAAATATTATATATATTAGGCTTCGCACCGAGATTTTTATAATGAAAAATTTATATTAAAATATGCTTATAAAATGGGATAGAAAATTTAACCCGTTTCCTAGCGTTTTTTTGATACAAATATTTAATTATAATAAGCCTAATATATATAAATAACAACTTTTAATAAATTTGTTTTTAACATTATATGACAAGTTACATAAATATAGTAATATGTCAAATAATATACTAAAGTGTAGACAAATAATGAATTGTTTTTTAAATATATTTTTAACTTATTACACAACTTTTTAAAATTGAATTATTAATATTTAAATTAAATTAACTATAATATTATAATTATTGAAAAGTAAGCTTTCATTATAATGACTATGATGACTGTAAGAAAGTTCAACTTAATATTAACTTATTTAATATAAAATTTGAACAACAATACAACAACAAACTAACCTAAAATGAATAAATAATCTAAATAATCTTTTTGAAACGAAATTGTATAAATTGTATACAGATAGCGGAAAAACTAGGGACTGAACTAATTTTAGCTATTGAATATTAAGCGGATTTTATACAATAAAACGGGCAAATATATAAATAAATGTGTAATTTTCTTATTATTTGGTCTTAAAAACGGTTATTTTTCGGGATAAAATATGAATGTGTTGTATAAAGTATGACTGAACAACAGATTAATGTGAGTTATAATAGTAAGTTTATTATTATTAATTATTGTTTAATCATTAAATATTATTCTTTTGTCCAACCTTGTTTAATTTCAACACAATCATTCAAATAATACACTTATTCATTTTATCATAAATACCATTGTAGTTTTCTTTACTCATTCGGTTAATTTGATGAGTCGTTTTTCGTTGAGCATTAAAAGCGACTCACGCAATAATTGGAAAAAAAAGTAAATAATAAATAAATTGTTGGAATGTTAGACATTCAGTAAATGATTTATAATTATTAAACTTATTAGACAACGGAAGATAAATCAATATAAAAAACAAACTTTACTTTGGTTCGACTGGGCTTTAACAAATGAGACAACTCTGAATGATTATTTAAGAGTTTCATATTTTTTAGTTTTTTCCATTTTATTTAACCCTTCTAGGACTGAAAATTTTTTATTTTTTTTTTCAGAAAAAAATTTCAAAAAATAATTTCACTTTTTTAAAAAAATGAAAATAATGGTGACTTTTCTTGAACAGTTTAAAATGATCATTGACTTATTTGATAAAATGGTTCAACTTAAATTCAAACTTTTGAATTATTTATAAAACATTTCATCATTCATAAACTCAAATTAATTGGGTTTTGTTAAAGATTCGTCCTTCAATCAATTAAAAATATAATTTAACAAATTAATATTAGTAATAAAAATAATACAAAAATAAACTGTTTTCATAAACAAATAAAATTGTTAATAAAAATTGATTAAATAATATTATCAGATATTTAAGTTTTTTAAAAACAAAATAAAAAACACTTAAAAAGTGTGCAAGATTGTAGGTTTGATATAACCAATAAGATTGGTTCAAACCAAAATAAAATAACAACATAACAAAAATATTGTTGTTGAAATACAAAAAATGGATTCCATTCAAACTAAAAATACATAGAGAACCAAATAACATCAAAATATTACGATAAAAATTCACTACTTACTATTAATTTTGTTTGTTATTATATAAACACAACAATAACAATAAAATAATTATCTCATATGGTAAAACAACACTATAAAACATCAATTTAAGTCGAGAAAAATAGCGGTTTTGGATACATTATACAATGCGTGACAAAAGAATAATAAATTGTATAGTAATTATAATTATAAATAAACTATAAAAAATCAACTTTTGAATAATATAACTGATAGTAAATTTATTATATATTATGATTGATTATAACAATAATTATTAAAACTAAACCAAATAAACACCAATATGAATATAATTAAATTGAGCCAAGCATGAACAGCCTTAATTATGCTTATTCCTTTTTCATTTGAAACTTTCTCCTTTTTATGCCTGTCGTTGATTTTTGGATTGATTTTCCACCAGACAAAACGATGTTTCCGTACAAGTCCTTTCTGATGTCGACATCACATTTCATGATTGAGTTGTAAGTTGTGAGTGGATACTTAATGCTTCCATAACAAAGAATGATGCAGGGAAGAGTGCTTTTGGTCATCTGAATCTCTCGTTGCCAATGGTGATAACTTGACTGTTTGAAGGTTTGTTCGATTTTTCAAGTTCTGATGATGAGGCAGATTTTTGCATTTTTTCGTTAAATCAAATGCAAGGCGGCAAAGTTATTTATAGTAATAAGTAATTATTTATTTTTTGAATTTTTATTCCAAATATAACAAGAAATTTGTGTGTTATTTCACACAATTATTTAATGTTGATTATACTATATTTATTAAATATTCAAATGTTTTTTTTTCGTGATATAAAAATTAAAAAATGATAATTTTTGATTACAAATTTGTTTTGCACATTGTTGTTTAAAATAGTGCAATTTTAAACTATAAATCTATTTATAACAAATCTTGAAATAATCAATTCAATTATAGTGTTTATTCAAATTTATATCAAGTATTTTATTTGTTTTATCACAAACTCTATTGTTTTGTAGCAAGTGACGTTGTTTTATGTAAGATTTAATTAGTACTTTTAAATAATTTAAACCATTTTATTGTTTAGCAATTTACAAATTAAAACGTCAAAATGTTCTTTGCATTTTATTTGTTAAAATAGTATTCATTAATTAAAAATAACAATAATTGTCTTGCATTATTAAAACAATTGAACAAAACGGGGTAACCTTACTGTATTTATTTTTAAAAAATTTAACAAATAATCTATTAAAAAACACAAAACACAATTCATTACAAAATCAATCAAATAAGAAATACAGAGTAAATTATTTAATATTTTAACTATAACTGTTAATAATATTATAAGTTACAATTGTTTACCTATTTTTTATTGATCCATTGTTGTGGAATAACAGATAGTCGTTAATTTAAAATATTCTTTAAATTATCCCTTTTAAAACAAAAATTATTTCCATATTTTTGTTATTTGGTGTGTTTAAATAACATTATTTTAACATTATTGTTATTCAAAAAATTAATTATTATTATATTATTATTATATTAATATTTCAGACTTCATATTATTAATGGTAAAATAATATTATAAATATAGTTTGTAATCAATTTTAACACCCAAATAGTTTAAATTGTTATCTATATAACAACTACATCAATTATATCACATATAATCATTTAATTGATCATTCACTAAACCAGCGTGTTTCTGTATATATAAATTAAATGCTTATTTGTTTTGTTTTAATTTAAACGATATGTTTTCAGTCAAAACGCGCTTTATTACAAACACTATGTATCTTTTATTATGATAACATTATAAATAGGGGTGATTATACCATTTTTGTTATAATTATATAAAAATACAATATAGTTTTAATTACACAACATCGTTATATCAATGTGATCACTAATTACTTCGATAAAATCACGTTGTAGTATGATTGTTGATGTGTTATTGTGTCAAAATTATGTCTGTTGATTGTTACTATTATATATAACAATTATAATTATAAAACTATTATAAATAACATGATAAATTATTAATAATATATTGATTTATTTTATTATAAAATATAGTTTAAAGTGTCAACTTTGGTATATATCAAGATGTCTTTACACTTGTGTTTTTCTTTGTTTTTGATTATTTCTAGACAT